TTTGTGATATGATGTATGTGAGATAAAAATTTGGTTGGGAATATAAAAAGATGGATTAAGAAATGTATTTATGATGCAAACAAAAAATTTGCTATCCAAACATAGCCATCAAAAAGTAAAGATATCTAAGCTCCATTTGGATTAGCTGTTTTTTAGAGTGTTTTTAAAAAATTTTGCTGTAACAGAGTTTTTAAAGTATATTTTAGAATATATTTTGAAATATTTGAAAGTAGTAGAGTTTTTAGAATATATTTTGAGTTTTTTTTAAACATTAAAAAAAAATTTAGACTACTTTTTAGAGTACCTTTTAGGCTACTTTTTAAAAAAATTTATAGTATTTGAAAAATTAATTTTTGAAAACTTATTACTTAATTTTGATCTGTTTTATAATCCTTTTTTCCACGACAAAACTCGTGAAAGCTTATCCACAATTTAATAATTTGCGCTCGCACCCTGTGCATTGGAAATTACAGGGATAGGATCTACATCTTCGTCTATACTGTCTCACAGTCTGTGTCTGCTTTCTCAAATAATTTAATACTAACACATAAAAAATCACCTCTCCAGTCTAAATCATATTTTCAATACTAGAATCCTGCTTAAATTTAAAACCAATCCAGCTTGTTGCAAAAGCATTTTCCCGAAGTCCATTTAATTGACAAATTATAGTGCTAAATCCAATATTATTGGATAAATATGACTATCGGACCTTTTTCTATTGTGTATTGCGATCAATTAATAAATATCTTCAACAATGCCGGTTAGCGGTCAATGAAATGTCAAAGGCAGGCAATTTCCTTTGGATAATTTGTCAAAAAGGCAATGATGAACATCCCAATTAACAAAGTACGTGTTTTAATACTCTATCTCATTGATAAATGCTCATAAACACACGTATAAAGTCCCTTTCAACTATTTTGTCCAGTTACGTTATATGATCACCAAATTTTGCTTTATTTAAATTTCAGACCGTCCCCAAAAAGCTTTGTATACGGCACACTACTATTGACCTTAATTAGCTATACCAAATACATGATATTACCAGTTTATCCTACTTTTTTTTTATTAGCTTTGTTAGGTAATACAAGTATTAAAAAAGAAAGATATTAGATAGTGATACTAAACTAATAATGGGGCAACTATGTATTTTGACTATCTTTTCGCGTATGTTAAATTGATTTGCACGAAAATGAATCTTGGCGAATAAAGGGGGAAATTAAGATCAACTGAAAATTTTCCAAAGAAATAAAAAAACTTCAAGTCAAGAGTTAGATTTTAAATGTCGCAACATTGAAGTGAAATTTGTTATTTAGCCAACTTACGCCAGACACCTTTACTACATTTTTTCTAAAATTAAAATTTCAATTTGGCTAGATGCTAGTTTTTTTTAAAAAAATTATAGTTAATTTAGGAAAATGCCTAAATGCAAGGAGCATTGTGAATGTATGTATTTATATGATAAGATAGATGCAGTTTAAATGTGTCAACGTGTGTCCAGAAAAATAGTCTTAATACTTTTATAAGATTTACTCTATTTATTATCCATATTCTTTGTTCCCTGATAATTGTATACAAATTCTACCTTCCATATTTACCTAATTTATCTCATACAATAATTAATTCAAAAAGTTGCAATTGTAGAGAAGGGGGTGGGGGGAGATAAAAGAAAACATGAAAGATTTTTGAGGTGGTATGTTAAAATATGTAGTACAAAATAAAAGATTTTAGAAAATTTTTTTAGCCGCCCTCCCGCCACCTATATCCGTCTTTGAGCACAGCACAGGAGTTGCATTATTTGTTGCTTATATTCTGATAGAATATTACGATCCGATTCAATCTGGTAAATCTAAAAAATGCATGGAATCATGAACTTGATTTTGGGAATCTTGGTATGGAGGTGAGTTTTTCACTCCCAAAAAAGGCCAAAAAACAAATAGAAAAGCAGAAATTTATTACTAACCCGGCAACATGTTTCGACCCGCATTGAATGCTGGTCCAAAAGTATATCGAATTCATGTCGGTTTTTTTTTTTAAAAAAAGTAAAAACGTCCAACAAATTACGCGAAATTACCACATAATCTTCCCAATCTGAAATATTTGCCTCGAACAAGTGTAGCGTTTGCTATACAATGGGTTATGTGGGTCTCCTTGGCTGGCAAGCTTGAACCGCATCTTCAGTCGCAAGCAGTGGCCAACAAGTTCTTAATCATTTCAACCCAAAAATAAGACAGAAGCCCAAAGCAGAATACGGTTGAATAAACTGAAGCGCTACGCTCGAGTACTGTCTGATTAGCTCCTCTGCTCTTCAATGGCTTCTCTACTGAACCCACCTCTAACTTTGCCTCAAAAAAGGTAGTAAAAAATTTCCTGTCAATTTGTTGCCGATTTTAATGATGCTACTATGGGAATTCTGATCTCTTGGATATGTCGATGGACCTATAAAAACTGAAGGCTTCTGTTTTGTTCTTGCGTGGATCATTCTTGACTATGATGTTCAAGTTTGTGGAGACTAAAGCTTTTATTCTATGTGAAACTGATGGTTAAACATATATATATAAAAAAATTGCAGGAATCTATTGGAAAATTTTTGTTAATTACCATACTTGTTGAGTAAGTTGAGCTGAAATTAGTTGACAATACATGATTGATCACAATCTGCTTTTTTTTTTTTTCTTCTAAATTTTCGACTTTCGTGTCATTAATTGAACAAGATTGGTGATATTAGGAAGACAAGAAAACCATGACCGGAAAGTTGAGCCGCGTAGTTATGCATGTCCATAGGTATACATTTGAAGAATGGTTAATACTCGTTCATTTTTTCTTGTTTATCTGGCCTAAATATATTTTGCTTGCTGGCCCTTCTGCAACTTAATCCAAGTTCATTTGTTGATTTAAACCTTGAAAAAAATGAACTTTCTTCAAATCAGTATACTACGAAAGCTTTTAGGATTCGATAGTTGCTCTTGATGCTTCAATTTTACATTTAGTTTCAAGTGTATAGGGCATCCTCATGCACCGTTCTTGCAGGACATTGATCTTTACAGCTTTACTGATATTTAGGAGCTATGGATTTAAGAATTATTGCTTCTTAAGTGGCTCTGTTGTCTAGAGGGTTTTTTCCCTTCTTCCCTGAAGTAATTGTGGTTGCAAAACAAGGTGCCAAGAACGCATTATTCTGTTATCAATGTAAAATTTACTAGTCTAGTACACGTCAAAGTAAAGGGGAGATTGCTGCCATTTATTTTTGTTGATTGTGTATCCTTTGGTTGTACTCGATCCTCTAATACATGATTTGTTCTCCCTATAACCTCTCTTTTTTGGCTCCATGGTAGCTGAAAGTTCCTTCAGTTTTAAATTTACTTCTCCCAATGAGTTGGACCTTTATGAGTCAGGTCAATTGCGGAATTGGTGCTGCTGCTGCAACAGTTACTCTACCAAACGAAACTTTCAGCCTACTGTAAGAACTGCTGGAAATCATAGGCATCATTTGGTGGTAAACGCTAAATCATCTACACAAGCAGATATGCTTGAGAAAGATTCTGTCAGTATTGAAGGTGTTGATGACAAGAGTGGTAAAACTCCTTTTCTTTTGTGCCTCTGTATGTTATTCGTTGTGGAATAGAATTGTTAGATGAGCTGCTATGATATAAGTTAATTAAATTTTGCTGAAAATCCAATTGAAATTAGTTTAGTAATTTCAACTGGATATGGATACAAATGTATTTGCTTCTGCTGACAATTTTTAACTTACCGAAAATTGAATGATAGAACTTAGCAATCAATGTCAAAAATGTTTAAAAATGAATGCTCTCAAGGATATGGATACAAATGTATTTGCTTTGGCTGACAATTTTTAACTTCACTGAAAATCGAATAATAGAACTTAGCAATCAATGTCAGAAATGTTTAAAAATACACTCTAAAAGATAGAGTCAGCAGGGCAAGAGATTAAATTTGATCGATTATCATATTTGAAGTCTTTGGATTTTTTGTCCTTGATTCAAAGTGTTGGTCTTCCATGGTGGTTACTCCTTCGAACGCGAGATTGTTATTTCGCCATAGTTTTGATCCGTGTATAGGAGAAAAACCTCTGCATTCATGTAATGTACTGTTTATTTCTAACACCATGTCTAATCTTTGATCGAGTATTTTCTAGGCCTGTCACTTGCCACTTTTAACTTAGAATAGCATGTGCTGACATGCAGATTTTGGAGTTGTAAGTATGCATCATGTTGGGATCTTATGTGAGAACCTTGAAAGGTCACTGGACTTTTACCAGAATATACTTGGTAAGTTTCTTACTGCTTAAAGGTAATCTAATGTCTTCCTTTTTCCACATGACAAAGCCAAAGGATTTCTAATATTTATTAAGTTCAGGCCTAAAAATAAATGAGGCACGACCACACGATAAGCTTCCATATAGGGGTGCTTGGTTGTGGGTTGGTTCTGAGATGAATACATTTGATGGAGCTTCCAAATCCTGACCCGCTAACAGGCAGGCCCGAACATGGGGTCGAGATCGGCATACTTGCATAGCAATTCGGGATGTGCCAAAGCTGAAAGCAATTCTGGATAAAGCTGGTATTTAGTTGTGCCCCATTCTCAGCTTCATTTTTTATCACCTTAACATGATCAAACTTTTTCCAATGTAAAGAAATGCTTCTTCTGGAAGCCTGCATTTCTTATTCTGCTGTATGTTTATCAATCAAATTTCAGGTATTGCATACACCCTTAGTCGCTCTGGAAGGCCAGCCATATTTACACGTGATCCAGATGCCAATGCACTAGAATTCACGCAAGTGGAGGCCTGATTCATGTCAACTTCTATGGTTTGAATAAGATGCGTCCACAGTATACCATTTTGAGGTTTCTTACTTTGTACATAAACAGTGATGGTAAAGTACTAATTAACCACAAATATTTTCAGAATATCGCAATGTAGACACTGCTTAATTGACAGTCTTAAGTGATTATTGCATGAATGTAGACATTCCATGTTACTATAACTGTTGTTTCTCACATTCATTTAAATATGATGGTGCTGATATCAGGAATATACATTTGCAGTTGCAACTGTTGGCAAAATCTATAGACAAATATGATATCTATATGAACATAACTCGCTCAGACGTTGGTTCAGTTAAAAATGTAGCTATGAAATTTGATTGCATCTGCATTCATATTCAGTTCCTCAGAATGAGACGCTTGACCTCCACTCTTGAATGGCTGAACAGTATATGGTTTGGGGTAAGCATCTTCGTCTGCAGTCTAACCTTCGTTACTGGTGATACATCATGTCTGTCAAGCCATGTTTTAATCGCAATGTGCTCATATGTAAAACCATCTGCTGCAATATGCGGATCATCCATTATTTCCTGAGAGCAAGATGCAAATAAGTGCGCTTTCCCTCCTGAGAATTGCAAATTACTATTCAGATGGCTATTCCATGGATTTGAATGATTACCTGAAGAATTGGGCAGTAATACTGGCTTGGTGCAGGAAAATTGCCACTGCCAGCTTTCCTAGCTACATCAGCAAATCTGGCGAGTCTTTCCAAAACAGGGAGCAACTCTGTTTCAAGATCTGGCCTGTCTCTGCACCTAAGTTTACAGCATTTTAGAGCCATTGAGCGAGTTCTTTGACTTCAGCCAATGGCCAGTCTGAAATTGATTTATCTAGTGCGGCTGACAATGATCTAGTTTTTATGGCATTTTCAACCTTCAGTATTGCTCTATTAGGACGGCAAGCGGTCAACAGCTGAAGAGCTATGATTCCTAAAGCATACAGATCAGATTTTGGTCTTACTGTGCCAGTCCTTTGATACTCTGGATCCATGTAACAAATGGTACCAGCAAGAATAGAATTTGGTATTCTGTTACATTATCAGGCACCACCTCCGATATTATTTTTGCCAAGCCCACGTCTCCAATTTTGCTCACATAATTTCTATCTAAGAGTATATTTCCTGGTTTCAGATCCCGATGGACAATAGGCTCTGGTCCTGAATTGTGTAAAAATGCAAGTCCACAGGCCACTTCATAAACAATCCGGAAACGAATAAACCAAGGGAAGCGGAGCTCGGCCGCTTCCAGGAAGTATAAATCTTCCAGGCTGCCATTTTCCATATATTCATATACCAGGCAACCAATTTCTGGACAGGCTCCAAGAAGTAAAACAATATGAGGGTGACGTAGTAGGCTAAGAACTTCAACCTACATAGAAGGAACAGGTTATATCAGAAAAGGTTCTAACGATGATACAATTACATTACAGAGTTAAGATGCAGTTGTACTACCGCAGCTCACAAGTGAGTGCTGCACATAGGCCTTGTTCTCAGTTGCTTTGGATTTTGCAAGATCTGATTATGGAAAGTGATTATAGAGAATAATCAGAATCAAGAAAGCCACTATTTGGTTGATTATAAATTATAAATTTTTTGGTTATTAAAAATTCTATAACTTGAACACAAAAGCAAACAAGAACATCACAAAAATTGATTATTCAAAATCAAAATCTATAATCAGTTAAAACAATCTAATGAGAACAAGCCCATATTTCGTTAAACAAATCATTCTTAAATAGTAACTCCTACAATAAATGGATGTTTACTGTTTCTGTTAACGGCTTCCAGTGTGAACAAAACATCTAGCAGATATGTGCTTATTCAAAAATATCTAGTAGCTCAGACTTGAAAGATGGGAAATTATGTAAGAAGAGAAGTAAGCAACCTCTCTCAGAAATTCTTCCTTTTTGTCTGATGCATCAGACTGAAGGACTTTAATGGCCACGGGAGTGTGATCAATGCTGCATTTGTAAACTTTTCCATATGCTCCAGAACCTATAACCTTTGCCTCACAGAAGAAACCTGTTGCCTCCTCAATTTCGTCTCTAGTGTACCTTTTGTACCTTTTGTCTTCTGAAAATAGTGCTTCCACAATTTTCTGCTTCTGAGAAAACTCGTTGAGGGCATTAGTTTCTGCTACTTGTCTTTCATTAGCTTCCTTGGCACACTGATCCTTTGCCATTTCAATCTCCTTCATGGCCTCCAAATGCTTCTCTCTCTCTCTCTTGCAGCAACTTTGCGTAAAATCTCCTCTCTTTGTCTTGCAGCATCCACTCTTCTTTCTTCTTCAAGGCATTCAGCAGAAAGCAAGTTGACCTGTGAGAAAGGAATAGATGATTAATGTTCTATGAGTGCCAATCAGTTCTACTTGCTCATATCTTTAAAAAAAAGAATCTAACTGATGTCTGTGTGTCCTGCACATTAATAATTAAACCATGAAAACTTTTCACAAATCAGAAGGATTGGAGGACTTTTGAGATATTCTAAGGTCCTTTAATATTTTCCAACTGGATTCTGAACTGAGTAACCTAGGATTTTAAGTCAATGAAAGACAATCAAATTCTTACCTTCTTTTGGACATAAACCAGATCTTCACAGGCTTGATTGTACATGGAAAGAGTGCTGTATAATTCTTGTCGCAGTCGCTCCACTTCAGCATCGACATTTGACTGCATTAACATAGAGCAAAAATTAGCACCAAGTGGGGACTGTTTACATGTTTCATCCAAATTGTCTCAAAAGAGAACCACCAGGGTAATGAACCTTCATCAATGTGCTTGGACGAGCATCCAGCAAAAATAGGCTTATACTACTCTTTTACCTGCTCCGAGGGTGTAGAAGGTCGAGAGGAGCGACTCTGAACTGTTTCAAAATCTAAGGTATTGTCCGCAAGATGAATCTGCTGCAGAAAAGTGGTAGAGTATACTGGATAGGCCTGAATATGAGAGTCTGGACCACTAAAGCCAGAGGTTGATGATAGTTGTGAGTTTTTGTTAGTTCTTGAGTTTGTTGACGAAGAACTGTTCCAAGGCAATTGTTTACTGACTGTCAGAGAATGGTGTTCGCTTTTACTGACCAAAAACTCCTTTGCGCTATCCTCTGAGAAGGGGCAAACAAAGAAGCAATGACTGACATGGAAACAGCCGAAACGAAACATCTGAGATATTGAATGTATTTCGGTAATACCAGTAGCCAACAAGGAATTTGGTTTATTTTTGATAACCCCACGTCTGGACACCACAAAGACATCACAACTTTCAGGAGCATTTCTTACGAGAACCGATGGCACTACAGAGCTCTTTGGCTTCCTGCACCAATTAATCATTGAGGCGAATGGAGGTTTAGTTAAGTGATGAGGGATATCTAAAACAATTATTAAAGCAAGCAAAGACGTCAAAATCAATACAAAGGGAAGGAATCCCAAAGGAAAAGGGAAGGACTTGTCGAATCTACTCAAGCCAAAAGAGACTTTTGATTATCACCATAAAATTCAGAGACAAAAGAGACTAAGAACAGAGACAAAATATTTTTGAGGTGATAGCATAAAACCAGTAACAACATCATCATGTGATCAAAGGCAAGGTTACCTTCTAAAGCAACCGTATTTGGAGAGAGCAGGAACCCACTACTAAAGCTGAACTCCCCACATCTGCTACGTATCTTACAAGTGCAGACGCAGGACTATCCCCCTCAAGCACTACAATTTCCACCTACAGCCAGAGAGAGAGAGAGAGAGGGATCATTAAACCTCAATTACGTGGTAAAATTCACCAATCTTTGTAACGGAAGAAAACATGGTTTGGTGAAACGAAACTATTATCTCACCCACCCTTTTCTTTACACGTTCCTTGAAAGGATAAGCATTTGCTTAGACCTTTCTTTCATATCATCTACATATGTCTCAGTATCTTTGCGTCCACCTCTTCAATTGGTATCCTCTGTCCTGCTGTAGTTGGAGTACAACAAAAACACGACACCACATCACAATTCATAACGGAGACATACTCCTAATAGTAAGAAATTTTAGTTTTGACATCATACAAGGAGTAGGGTGAAGTAACAGGAGGGATGACATGACTAGCACAATAGGTTCGGCTTTCCATATCATCTTCTCAACGGCCACCGGACTGCACGCCGGCTTCCTTTCCCTCTTGAGCTCTTTACTGCCACTGCCACCGTCGACGTCTCTGCACCACGCCACCACCACCACCGCTCCTCAGCCTCCTATTCATTTCTCAGAAGATTCAAGCTTCTCATTGTTGAAAGCTAATGATTGGAAATGGAAGCTTAGTGTTTTTGTTTAATGTGATTAGGATTAGCATTTAGGACTGGGGTTCAGACGTCAGAGTCGACTTGCGTCTGCTTCGCGGACTTTCCGGGTTGGCCGTTTTGCAGTTTACCCGCAAAAACAAACAAAAAGTGGGCCCCGCGTTTCCTGATCTGAACGGTTTTGAGGATTAGGCTAAGATGATCTGACGGGTTTCCTTGTCCACTACAGATTCCCTTCTGGGTAGCTACGTTCAGGGTCAACGCGTCAACTATAGTCTATAGTACATTCTCCTGAGTTGCTTTTTTTTTTTCAACAGATAATTTAGAAGCGAAGAGACGAATGAAATTTGATCTGAAAGAGGTCCGGGAGAATTCTCCGGGACAAAATTCTAAATGGCGGTTTAATTGGTGTATAATTGTTTTTACATAGATTCTTTTTCAATTTTTGCCTCTTCTTCTTTTGCTGAATCAAATCTTTTCTTGCCATAATAGTTAAGTTTCTATTAGTATCCATAATACAAGTCGAATTCTAAAAAAATTTCTAATTTTTAGAATTTCAATATTAGCGACTAAATCAAGAGTTCTTTGAGCATTCTTTGAGTTACTTGCCAGTCATAATCTTACTAGTAATATGTTATAGAGCAAGCATTTTTCTTTTCTTTTTTTTTTCCCCAACTCGTCAATTAGCTGTTGTAGTTTGGCACTTTTGATTTGGAAGTGTTTTGATTTAATACTCTAAGGTATTCTCTCTAATTGGTAGAAGAAAGGATATTGTTGATTGTTCACTAACTACTACTATTCAAAATGCATCTCTAGCCGGGACTTGTCTTTTGGTACGCAAATCTTTTTCAATTGTTATCTGGTTACAAGTTTTCATGAATATTCTTCTAATTTATTTTGCAATTATAACTCTGACAAGGTGAATTCTGGTCGAATGAGCCGAGTCACAAGCACACGAGCTCACCTGCCAAACACTAAGAAGACAAGGTCTTGTCGCCCAATCTCACTTTGATGCTTAATTTAGTTATAGTTCAAGAGTTGAATATGTGGGTTAAATTGCATACCTTATGTAGGAGTATTTATTAGTATTTGTAGTAGTTGTGCCCGGGGATGGAATGATAAGGTCTATCCCTGCCTAACATCATGAAGCAGTTTAGGGCGGCAGTATCAAATGTAAGTTTGAGCAGTAGGGTGGCTAGTAATCAAATCATTTCATCAGTTACAACTCACGCTGCAAATAGCCGAGATGTTGGTAGTCTTGGGTAAAGAGGTTGTGGTTACCAACTCGGCTTGTCATAACCAAGATAACTATTTAAACTCATTTACCTCGAGAGACCTCGTCTTCGCCTCCCGGAGGTGAAGGATTGTCTCGACCAATCAGATCAGCTTTGCCTTCACCTCGGATATGCGTATGGATCACCCAACACCTAACATCTCGACGGTAGAGATGACTAGTGATTGACAAATTGATATGATCACCCACTGCCCTACTGATTAGATTTATGACTGAACCCACTGCCATAGAGTAAGATCGGGAGATAAGACCCCGATCATTCTCATATTTTTGACAGGTGAGCATGCGCTGTAGACTCACCCTGACTGCTCAACAATCATCTCGTCAGAGGTAGACGAGGTGGAACGCCTCTTCAGAGTAATCTTGTCGATCATCTTGTCTAAAAATATTCGAAATGAAGTATTTGTTGTCGACAGAGTGTGACGGACAAATAGAGTCCGAGCAGGCGGAGGCATTCATGAGCTCCATAATAAATTCCTAACGTGACGGAAGATTCAGATGAACATGCACGTCTGAAATCAGAGGAGATTTTAGAGTTAAAGAGTTGATTGGGTTTAATAGACTCGGCTCTTTTGGGTCTAAAACTTCATGTGCCAACCCTTTTGGTACCCGAGGAAGGGAAAAATACATCGGCGAATAAAATGATGGAGCTGGGGTTTAAGTGTTTAACATGACCCAACCCAACAATGACCTCTGACTCAGTCAAATCATCTTACAGTGCTTGGGGTTTGCTTTCCCAGAAGGTAAAGAGAGGGTGCCATACAATTGGCCCTTCCAGCGTCGTGCACGTTGGGCGGCATTTGCTATTGGAAGAATTATCAGTTACTTAAAAGCTATTTTGACGCAAGAATCACATTTCTTTTGAAAGAAAGGTTTGACTACTAAGTGTTTATTGGGTACTGATTAATATGGATTTCAGGTGTTCATATTTTGAAAAAATAATCAGGAAAAGCATATACATGTAAGATAGATAGGATAATAATTATTAGTGTATAAATTTATATAATATGTTAGGTTACTTGTGATCTAAGTATGAAATGAAAATCGCTATAATTTCATTGCATTAGATGTACACTAATGGCGAAAAGGGCATCAAAATCAAATATGCAACAATCTAAGAAATTTGAGATATAAAAAATTTTAAAAAATAATCACACTTTGAAACTTCAATGTATTCTAAACAAAAATAAATCACGTCTTCAACTCTCAAATGAATTCGTCTTCCATATTCAAATATAATATTCAACTACTTCAAATAGGTTAAGATCTGACTTAAAAATGAAAACACAGAAAGAAAAAAAAAATCTAGGAGATTAAAAACACCCTAGGAGATCAAAAACAACTACCAATACGAAGCCTAGGAGAGTAAAATAACACCCCTAGGAGATTAAAAATAAAATAAATGAACAAAAGTATCACTAGATTTGGATCATAATGGGCTCGCGCAAGAAAAAAAAATTGGTTTCGCGCAAGTACGAGGACAACTTGGTTTCGCGCAAGGAGCTTTTGACGCAGGCTCTATCCATTGCCTACAAACAATTTCATCCTAACTCGGATTGCAGGGTCATCAGGGGCAAAATCATTCAATTTTATATCCGGATGGTAGGGCTGGTAGCCCATTATGATCCCGAGCGGTGACAGGTGATGGAAAACTAATGGCCGAACGAGAACGATTATTACATCCCAGCGAAGGCAAAAAGCACGCAAATTTAACTCAATCCTTACGGGGTGGTGCTGATAATAAATGATACTAACCTCTAAATCAGTTAACCAGGAACGTGATTCCTTGAATACAAGATTCATTCTCTTTTGTGACATTGACTCTGACGAGCATGCTAAAATTTGGAATCTTGAGAAGGATTGGCATAGTCTAATAGTACATTGTAGGAGCGCTAATTAATGCTTTATCTTCGAGAGTCCGATGCTCCTTTACATCTAAATTTCAACTTTTTTCTTGCTTTATGGAGATTCAAATTAATACCAAATAAGATTCAAAGCACGGAGTTGGCAAAAGTAAGGGTTATTATTACTTTATTCTATAGCATTACTACATTATTATTATTACTTTATTCCTTTAAATTATAGTGATATAATCGATTTAATTCCTAACATTATTTTTTTGGAATTTATTTCATCGTTAATCTAACTAGTATGGTAAATTTTTTTTAAATATATTTATCCTTATGTAGATAATTAAAAATAAAAAATTTAGAATGATTATTCTTCTTTCTTTTCACTTTAAGAGATCCAAAAATAAAAATAAAAGGGTTTTCTCAAATTTCTTTTTTCACACTTATTAATACTAAAAGAAAAAGAGATAGGAAAGAAAGAGACCGATAATTAGATTTTACAAAAAAAAAAATTTTAAAAATGTCTAACGTCATCATATTAATTTAAGGTTGTTGGGATTAGGATTGAAATTTAGTGGTAAACAGTAAAGTGAAATAATTTTAAAATAATAAAGTATTTAATTCTTTCTTATCCGTATTTTCTAAAAATGAATTGAGCTCTCTCTATCTATCTCTCTTTCCCCCTCCCTATCTTTCTATTTTTTTAATATTAATAAGATTGCCAAAAAGAAAGAAATTAATATTTTGACTTTTTTTCTTGATACTAAAGAGGAGAAGAGCCACTCTAAATTTTTTATTATTTTTATTATAGAAAGATGAGTGTTCTTTCTTCTAACATTTTTTAACTTGCTAAATTGGTTTAATTGTTGGATAAATTGTCTAAAAAATAACTTTATGGGGTAAATTAATAAT